ACTATATGTTTATATATCATTTCAACCAAAGAAAGTATCTGAGGAATTAGATTGGGTATTTTACTTACATAAATCACATTTCTGTCTCATTAGAAGAAATAACAAAACCTTAGGCATTACTGAAATAGAAGATAATTACGATGAAAACGTATGGAGAACTTGTAGAGATGATAATACGGTAACGCAAGTTTCACCTCTAAAACTAAACGTTTTTCCAACCATTCACGATGATTGTTTATACGCATGGGATTGCGAAACCTATAGCGAAAAAAAGCTATTCATTATTCTTGCACGTTAATTGATTTAGAAAAACTAACAAAAATGTTAGACAGAATAACACATAACTTTCCAGATTTAAATCCCACTGATAGTGTTCCAGAAGAATTTTATAATAAATTAATGAATTAACAATATTCTTGCCGATTTAGTCAAAACTAGTTATCTCAAACAGAAAAAATATGACTATCTGTCTGCCAAACCTGATTTTCGCGAGAGACATTTGTACACTTTGCCTAAAATCCATAAGAATCCAACCAAGGAGTGTTTTTATCTCGAATAAAATCCCTAAAGGCCGCCCGATTATATCTGACTGTGGTAGTGAGTCATATGCAGTGTCAGAATACATAGATCATTTCTTACTACCTCTAGCATGCCAACATCGTGCCTACCTTAAAGACACAACCGATTTTGTCAATCTTCGAGTTCCCTCTAATGCTTTTTTAATTTATATCGACGTTTCTTCTATGTATACCAGTATCGATAACACTACTGGTTTAACGGCAGTTCGTAAAGCTTTTAATACAAACCCAGATCCAAACAGACCCGACGATGCAATTCTACAGCTTTTAGAGATTTGTCTTTGTCGAAACGATTTCACATTTAATGGTAAAACATATTTACAAACTTCAGGGACAGCAATGGGCAAACGATTCGCCCCTTCGTACGCAAACCTTTTCATGGCAGAGTGGGAACGTGAGGTGTTGGCCCTCTGTCCATTTGACCCACTTTTTTACGGACGCTTTTTGGATGACATTTTTATGGTTTGGACTTATTCTATCGAACAGTTTTGGGAATTCTTTGAAATTCTCAACAACCACCATCCTTCTATCAAACTAACCGCAAACGTGAGTGACAAAAGCATGGACTAAGAATAATTTACGAACTCGCTTTAATGCTCATAGGTCAGACATCAAATTAAAGAAAGACAAATTTCTAATCATTTCAACCTCGACGACCATTCAATAGACGATCTCACCCTAATCCCAATTGAGCGTATAGAAATTGACTTGCCCGAAGATGAAACTACCAAATTCCGTCAATCTAGGGAGGCCCATTGGATTGAGACATTGAATACAGCAAGACCTATAGGACTAAATATTCATCATAATGTAGGCATAGCACCCTTTGTTGTCCCGTTTAATACAACCATCAATCGAGCAAGCAAGATAGTTCATGCCCACTATAAGAGCCTTCAAGAGAAATTCCCCCATGTCTAAAAGCAGAAAATGATAGTTGCATATTCAAAAAATAAGAACTTAAATGATAATATTGTTCATAGTAAACTAAAAACAATCAGTACATTACAGATACTATACTTCTCGCCCATCGGGCGAGTTTTTTTTTCTAATTTCAGATCAGAATAAGAACAGAAGAAAACCCAATATCAAGACCCTTAATCCTAATTTCTAAATAAAGTGTCCGCTAGGCCTGTACATTTGGGAGAATCAAACCCTCCCTTCCCCGAAATCTAATTATTTGCAAAATATTAATTTCATATGTTCCTTTCAACATGAAACATCTAGTTTAGCGGCATGGGGTAATTCATCTAATCTACCAATGAATTTGAGAAAGATCACCGATATTAATATTGCAAAATACACCAAAGATAATTGGGAATCTTTAAGACATGAATGGGAACCTTACGCTAAAAGAGATACGTTATGTCTCGGAGATTGTTTGATAAAATACAATCAAGCAATGAAAGAAGTTGTATTTCAGAATATTTCCAATAATCTAACGGCTCCTTCTTTATCTTTAAAGGGTTGGTATTATTTATATCATTACGATAAAGAAATGGTTGAAGAAGAATGGTATGAAAGTACTAGAATGGTTCCGAAACACACCGAAAAAGAAAACGTAGAAAAAGTTTACTCACATACTCACCCTTTTCTAAGATATTTTATCAGACAAAGTATTAAAGGAGGAAGAGTTTCGGCAAATCGAAAATCATTTAAAACGAAAAAAATGGATGAAATTTGTAATGTATTAAGTGAATACACAGAAACACTAAGTGATAATATATTGATTTATTCAAAGAATATAGTGCTAACCCAAAAGATAAAACGGAGGTTCATTCGAGACTTAAAAAAATAAAATGTACTAAACTAATGGCCTTTGATGCTAACGGTTTGTACGCTTCCGCCATGTCGGATTTAGACAGCGAATATCCGAGAGCGGAAAGTGGTAGACCATTTCTACAAGAAGAAAATAAAGAATTTGTTAAGCTCTTTAATGAACAGAAATTCAGACCTAGAACTGCTATTTCAAAAGTCTGGTTTGAATATCCTACTTGGTTTCTCTATAATTCTATATCCTATCGGTACAGTGAATGTTGGAAGACTGTAAATAATCTGTCGTTTGTATTTATGGAAAAATCCACCGTTTATCAAATTGCAATGTATATTTATCACATCGATATCATTCTCGATATTAGCTTTGTGTGGTGCTAAAGTGGATTGGGTGTATATTTGTTTATCAAATCCTAGTAACGCATTCAATGAATTTTCTACGTTGAAATCAACTTGACTATTATTTCTTAATATCAATTTTTTTTTGTTCAGATTCAAATTACCGTCGAATTCAATATTGTTTTTAGCATTGACACTTCCTCCATATTCAGATAGGTATTCGTTAATGGCTATGTATTCGTAGCTTCCTGGTAGTAAACGTATGGTTTTGAACGTAACTACATTATCTGTTGATATTTTTTTTTGTTTTTTTTTTCGTTGATATTTCTAATGGAATTGTAATCAGAGAAATACTTTAATCCCAATTCATATTCTTGATTGCGATCGAGTTCGTACTCATAATCTAGAGACAATTTAATATCTGATTTATTTGAGGTGATGACGAATAGTTGTGCTTTATTTGACATTTTTAATCACGCTTTTATAATCATTTTTATCTATGATACCTTTTTCTAGGAGTCTTGTTAATATACAATTTACTTCATTAAATTGTCTGTGCGATCGATGTCCTTCCTTCATTGCCGCTAATATTACTCGTAATCTATTAAGTAGTTCCTTGATGTTGTCGGATAAAAACGTTATACCTTCTCCAGATACGATATCTATTTCTTGTATGATTGGACAATCTTCCTCTTCATACGTTATACCTTGTCCAGATGTCACCATATTTTCGAATTCGTCTATATCTTTTGTGATTTGTGGATAATCTTCTGCATAATCATCTTCATCATGTTCAATTACTCTTATATATAGTTTAACTTCTTTCGATCTTCTTGTTTCGGGTCCCGACTTTCTTATTGCATCCAGAAATTTGGAGTATGCTACTAAATCCTTGTAATCGGCAATGCCAACATCCTTCCCATTCATTATATCTATTAATCCTTTCGTTAATGTAAATATTAAGTCTTTTGTATCGATTATAAATTCGGGGGGATTTAGCTTAAATCTTATTCTAAAACCATTAAACAGTAACCCCGCATCATCAATGATTGGTTTAATACTCTTTGGTAAATCTGGGTCAGGGTTTGAAAAATAATGTTTTACATCATCTACTGTCCTAATTATAATACCACTATATTCAATCGCTTTGGGGTGATGAGGTTCAAAAGGTGGTGTGGGTTCTATAGGAGGTCTATATTCTAAAGCTAATTTCTTTTTAATATCCTCTTGAGATTTTAATATTGGTTGAAATGGAGTTTGTAGATTTTCCGTTAATCCGAGTTGTTGTAATCTGTTATTTTCATCTTGGGTCTTTATTTTATTCTTTGCTTTGATATATTCTCTATTTCTTTTTAAAATATTATTCCAATCGCTACTCGTTTTTAAAAAAAATAAAATTAACATATGCCGATCATAACTCTTTCATCCGCAGGTTTTCTAGTATTTACAAATACATATCCATGATCATCTGGGTTTTTCCATTGAGCTTTACAAACCTTTTTAAATGCATCTCTATCCATTCCGTGATTAATCGACTGAATGATTTGAGATAAATCTTTATCGTTTAATTCAATTAATAAAAAACAATTTGCATTTTTTCTAATGAACATAGAATCCATCCCGTAAAAAGATTGGGATTGGTATATGCAGTGACAGTTGTGATGTCTTCCTTTCGTGAAGAATTCTTGTTGAACAGCTTGATTTCTTTGCGCTAAGCAGTCGTCAAACAATATTAACCCTGGGAGACCCAGACATAGAAATACTTGAGGAAAAAATTCTTTGGGTTTTGTTATGTCTCATTTGTAATGTTTTGTAACCACATTGAACAAAAAAATCTGAATTTTGACCAAAATAAAATTATGCAACATTGGGTCGAAAGGGTCGCAAACTTATGAAATCCTATACGTTAATTGAATGCGATTTAAATGACAATACAGACGTAGTTTGATTGTAAATGGTAGATGTTGACTTTCTTCACACTTAAATATATTTGGAACTGGAACTCAGCTTTGGCTATCTTGTCTGATGAAATAAAAAGCAATTTGCAATGTGCCATCAAAAGAGGGTGTCCACAAGCATAAACTAAAATTCGGGAAAGAAACTGGATCAGCTCCATAAAATTGCATAGATTGACTGAAATCAACTATTATGTTTTAATATTGAAAAGTTTAACAAATGTCAAATATGAATAACATATTTACATAAAATTTAAAAATACAATAAAATTCGATGAACTTATATCATAATTTGACTACATGACCTAATTAATTAGATGTGATAAAGCCTAAAGCAGTTTCGCTTTTCAGTAAAACATAGTCTTACATTACATTTCTCACAAGAAGTATCAGTGGATCCGTCTTTACAATTTGCACACCTGCCACGCTTTTCTAGTTTAGTTGGCCAATGGTTAACCAAATCTCGGCGAACATCAAGGGGTGGGTCAGAACGACGAATTTTATTAAGATTTTCGTCCAAAGTTTCTAAAGAGGGCCTACCCCTCTTTCTGTTAATCATTATCAAAGAAGTTGCAACTTGTGCTTGAAATAATCTACGAGTCATCACTGATTTCTTTGGCATGTCTAAGGCATTGCAGTCGCGTTTATACAAAAGCCATGCATTTATAACTGCAATAATGATAGTGTACCAAAAAAGATATATGTACCACCTCTTAGATTATATATGATATCGGTACTTAGATATAAAGGCATCTAAAAGGTCAACCCCACCCATAAATTTGTTGTATTGCTTAACGATTGCTGGGCATGATATGTTTGTGTACTTTTTTTTGGACCGATCATATCGAGATATGTCAATTACAGGATTTACACCAATATAAGTGGAAACTAAATTTACAGCCCGGTTATCATACCATGCAGTCGACCGCATCGTTTCTCATGCCCTGTCCTGGGCCCGTCGCTCCTATGGGAAACGTCTCACTCAAGCTGTAATCACCAAGTTCTACCAAACAATCAACGAAACAAAAACCAGAGTAACCATATCTCTACCAACTGAAATGGACACTACACCTGCACCATCTAGAACCACGACGCTGCCGAACCAAACCCCTAAACGAGCCCGAAGTTCACCTACTCCTAGTCCAGCAGACATAGGTAAACGCTCTCGTAGAGAGGGCACTCCCCTTCTCTTTTCACTTTCAGACTCGTCTTCCCCTTCCACACCATCTGAATCTTCACCACGTGATCCAGGATCCACCACCCTTTCTTCCTTCTGTGCGTTTTTGGACCAGCAAACCACCCCTCAGTCTCCATCCAAGTCGAGATGTATATCCAGACCTTCCCCCCCTCGAACGAGATCCCAGTCCGTTCCCAATGCTACAATTCTAACAACTACCAAACCAGTACCAATCACACCGTCGACGATCATTATATCCGCTACCAAACCGTATTATCACCAAACCAAGGACAAATCATTATGGAAGCTACCCGCTCTAAAGAAATCTACCTTAATTATTGGATCATCTAACCTGAATCGAATTACCAAAACCAGTTCAGACACTGAAATACATTCTTACCCCGGTGCCCAAATCCATCACATACAGTCAATCCTGGAATCATACGACCATGATCCCAAACCTACTACCATTATTCTTCATGTAGGCCTCAACAACCGTAATCAGCTACCAAAGACCTCCTTTAAACAAGCCCAGAAATTAATCGCCACAGCCAACAAAACCTTCCCAAACTCCAAGATCCTCTTCACATGTATACCCATTTCAAATAAAATCTCGAAGAAAGCACAACAGAACCTCAGCACTCTCAACAACATGATGATGGATTCCAGTATCAACAGCGCAACAATCTTACCACCCTACGAAGAAGAATTCGAACCAGTTGATAATCTTCATTGGTCCCCAGAAACAGCAAACAGCATTTATTTATTTTGGATACACCAGCTTCAAGCATCGAGTAAGTCTTTATACTAATTACTGGGGATAAAAACACTGAGAGGCCACCGCTAGGCCAAAGTGTAGTTAACTTGAGCCGCAAAATTCTCACACCCCTTCAGCATTCAATCTTAGACCGTGGACTTAAATTTATTCCCACACCAAAGATAGCTAACTTGAATTATCTCCCACCATCCATTGAACGATTTCAACGAAATTTTAGCTGCACATATTTTTTTCGAAACCACCCCCCACGTGGTGCTAGAACAATGTTTATTCCTAAATCCAGGTGGACACCCCCTCAGGCCGCCATCCATCCTGAAATATTGAAAGCATTTGCTAGTATGAATAGCAAAACAGTGAACCTTTCCATAACACACGAAAAGCCTAATCTCACACGAGTGGAACGTGAAGCGTTAAACTTACTTAAGAAAGACGATAGCATTGTTATTAAAAAGAGTGACAAAGGTTCATGTTGTGTCATTCTGAATAGGGAGGATTACGTTTCAGAAGCAGAGAATCAACTGAATAATCCTAAACATTATGCCATTTTACCGAAACCAATTTTCAAAGAAACTGCTAACATGATTAATAATATTCTTGCCGATTTAGTCAAAACTAGTTATCTCAAACAGAAACAATATGACTATCTGTCTGCCAAACCTGATTTTCGCGAGAGACATTTGTACACTTTGCCTAAAATCCATAAGAATCCAACCAAGGAGTGGTTTATCTCGAATAAAATCCCTAAAGGCCGCCCGATTATATCTGACTGTGGTAGTGAGTCATATGCAGTGTCAGAATACATTGATCATTTCTTACTACCTCTAGCATGCCAACATCGCGCCTACCTTAAAGACACAACCGATTTTGTCAATAAAATAAAAAATCTTCGAGTTCCCTCTAATGCTATTTTAATTTCTATCGACGTTTCTTCTATGTATACCAATATCGATAACACTACTGGTTTAACGGCAGTTCGTAAAGCTTTTAATAGAAACCCAGATCCAAACAGACCCGACGATGCAATTCTACAGCTTTTAGAGATTTGTCTTAGTCGAAACGATTTCACATTTAATGGTAAAACATATTTACAAACTTCAGGGACAGCAATGTGCAAACGATTCGCCCCTTCGTACGCAAACCTTTTCATGGCAGAGTGGGAACGTGAGGTGTTGCCCCTCTGTCCATTTCACCCACTTTTTTACGGACGCTTTTTGGATGACATTTTTATGGTTTGGGCTTATTCTATCGAACAGTTTTGGGAATTCTTTGAAATTCTCAACAACCACCACCCTTCTATCAAACTAACCGCAAACGTGAGTGAAAAAAGCATAGACTTTCTCGATACCACAGTCTTTAAGGGAGATTCCATAGCAGAAACAAATAAACTGGATATTAAAGTGTATTTCAAAGAAACTGATACTCATCAACTCTTGCACAAGAGCTCCTTTCACCCAAAACATACCTTTTCTGGTATAATTAAGTCACAAGTTTTACGATTTCATCGAATTTATACAAGATCTTCTGATTTCAACCAAGCCTGTACGAGTGTTTTCTCAAAACTGAAAGAGCGTGGGTACTCTAAACGATTTTTACGAAACATAAAAAATTCCACCTTAGCACAGATAGCAGCTAAAAACAGACTTTATGCCGAAGTACCTCCAGGTTTAAGAAGTGCTCCATGTTTGTCCAGTAGATGCAAAACATGTCCCTTTATATCAGAAACTCATTATTTTGTAAGCAACTCTACGAATAAAAGGTACCCGATCCAGGAACATCTAACATGTGAACATTCGAATGTAATATATTTAATTTCATG